CTACCGATTTCTCTTTCAATTGAGTTTTCTTCCAACGTTCCCCCCATTGTTCGGAGGAAATATCGGATCGAAAACTGGTTTCTTACTCGTGAATCGAACTCTACTACCCCCAACCCCTCCTCCCCTATTTACAAAGAGAATGGAGGGCTGACATTTCACTCGTGAACCAACGGTTCATATATATATATATATATTTTCTTGTTCTTCTTCTTGTTCTTCTTCTTCGGAGGTCTCTCCGCTGCGCAACGTAGATCCGTTGCCCTTTCGCCATCTCTTCGCTGGGAAAATGTGAAAATCGTATCGATCAACGTCTCGATGATGAGGAGGGGGGGATTGAAGAGAAAGTTGGAACAGATGTTTGAATTACTCGCATTGAAATTCGATTATTTGAGGCGTTATGGAGAGGCGTGTGGATCGATAGATAAAATTTAATTTAGATTAATTGTTATTTGAATCTTAGTCTTAATCTGGCAATTGTTAAATTATAGGGGTGAAAATTGTTTTTATTTTTGATATTCTTGATGTAATCGAAAAATAAGAGGGAGTTTATATAGGATCAAATGATTAAAAGGATAATGAAAATTGTTTTAGAGGTTGTTCTGATGCGGGTTAGAAAGGAAAGGATGGTTAGGGTGGTTAAATTGAAAGAACTGGTTCCGAAGGGTATATAAAACATTTGCAGGGGACAATACGTTTCTTTGGATCTTCTGCAAGAGATTCAAATTTCTTGCGCGTCATCCGAGATTACACGTTTATGACGTGACATTTCGAAAGAATAATACGAGTTATCCGTTTCTATCCTCGTATCGGCGATCAAAAGTTGAGACGTCTTCCTTGTTGGAATAAAAATCAAAAGTTTAAATTTAAAGCAAGCAAAGAATTTATTAAGAACGCATCGTTTCGATCGTTACTAAATAAACTTTTCTTTTTTAAAAATAAATAAAATCATTAATCTAATTGGTAATATTTTTCAGAGGGCAATATTTTCATAAATTTTCTAGAATTTCTAGGTAACATTGCAATTTTTATTAAACATCATCTAAAATCATCATTAGTCTAAAATTCTAAAATTCTCTGTAAATGTTTTCCAAATTTTCTATAACCATTGCAATTTTTAGTGTATTATCTACCAGACGATTCATTACATATTTTTATACCAAAAAAATCGATTTAACACTCTCGTTAAAAACTCTCGAGAAACGAAATTTTCTAGAACCATCGTATACTTGACAGGCTAGGCAACCACTTTTCCATTGACCATGAGAAGCGTCGAAAAGCGTGGAGGCCGCCCGTTTAAATTATACATTCGTCTAAAAGGTCCGCCGATCAGAGAGATTCGACGATTCCCGAAAATCCAACTTTGAATTTCAAACTCGGGAACGGTCAAGGCCTGCCTTGTCTGATTCTATTCGGGACTATCCCCTGAGATGGAGGCTCGCGTTAACGCTCGGATGCGAAAAATTTCCTTTTCCCCCTCAAGTTTCTCGTGTCACATCTCGTGTCGATAACGCGTTCTCGTCTCCCCTCTCCCCTCCCCTCCTCCCCTGAGAACAAGCTTGTGAATATTTCTCGACCTGTCATCCGTGGTTCCAAGGGAATCCTCCCGTAAAAGCACGGTTTACCTTTAGCGCGACTCGACTGCTCCTTCTTTTCTCCCCTTTCCTCCTCCTCCCCTTCTTTCGAAACTTTTGCAAGAAACTTTGGCCACGCTCTTTCCAACAAAACGAACTTCTCCCGAGAATTAATCATCCCGCGATCCTCCTCTTTTTAAATCGTCTTTATCTTCTGGACGGAGGCAGAGAGAAAGTTTTCGAGTTTTAGTGGAAGTCAAAAAACGAGGAATTGAGAGAGAGAGAGAGAGAGAGATGGAATGGTGGATGGGATGGGCGATATTAAATGTTTGCTCGTTTTGATAGATCTATTTTTCCGCTTGTTTATTTGTCGGCGGAATGATTGAGTTTTATTGATCGATGGTGAATTATGAGGCAGGAAAGTTTTTTTCTCTTCGGTGTATGTTATTTTATATGTGGGTGCCTATCCATCATGGCGATGTAATATAATTGTGAAATTGACTTAAGAGAAATGAAAGGGTTAAGAGAATAATGATGTGAAATACGTATATACGACTCCTTATCGATTCATAAATTGAATCTATTATCTGCCACTTTGATACAGAACACTGTATACAGATATAGTGGGCAATAATTTTTAACATTATTCGTGAAATGTAAATATTATTCAATTTCATTGGAAAAAAAAATATTATTGACTCCATTTTTGATAATTTAATATTTTTTTCAAATAATAAAAGTTTGTTAATATTATCCTTTTTACAAAGAATTTATACAAATTCGAAACTACTCCAAAAATTAGAAAATACCACTTATCAATTTCTTAATGAATTAATAGCACCAATATAATAATCCTTTTTTTATCGAAAAACCTTTACATGTATCATTTGTTCTAAAATGAAAAACAATCAGGAAAAGATTATAAGATTAAAAAAATATATATATATATATGTATATATTTTGCACGAGGAAAAAGTAATAGTTTGCTCTTAGCTTCTATATTAGCTTTTCTATTCTTGTACCATTACGTAAGATTGCGTCACCGTGTTTTTAAAAAATTCATTTCACTAGGACTCGATTCCCTTGGGCTACACGGCGATAATCAATTCGAAATCGAGGAGCTGTATTCACGGCTATCTCTGATGGAGAGGCGTTGCTCGGCCCCCGTCGATGACCGTTCGCAGTCATTGGCGTCCTGCTCATGTCACGTAAATCGTCTTCCTGGAACGAAGGCCACGAGAAAGTTCGTGCCGCTGGTTCAGTGCCACGGTCACGCTACGTGCGTGGCATCGACACCGACGAAAGTAAACTAAATCCAAAGGATTACGCAACCCCGTTTTAAAAGTCTCTCGATGTTCTTCTCTGACCGCCTTCCTTCTCGTTCCTTCCCCTTTTCCCTCGCCGCTCCGTCGCTCGCCTCGAATTATTTGATTAATTCGTGCCGTGGTGAGGATCGATAGCGCCCCTTTGTTAGTAATTTTGCATTTGAGAATGATTGATCGTGCCACTCGAAACTTTCAACTATTTTCTTCTCGTGTATGGCGAAATTTGAATAGATCCAGCTCGTGCTGATTAACCGTTATCGTAGATGAAAACCTTGAATTGAGACGTGATGGATGAATTTTGTTTGAGATCGATCTTGAATTTTGATATTTTCTGAAAAAAGAAATATATACATATATAAGTATTAAATATTCTTATATCTATTTAAAATTTAATTTAATAATTTTTAAAGTAAAATCTTCGTATATGTAATAAAATCCAAGTTTAAAAAGTCGCAATGTTTTTTTTTTTTTAAATAAAGTATGTATCTTTAAGAGGAGAATATTCTGTTTAATAAAAATTGTTAAAGAGAGGACAAAATTTTCATAAGAAAACTGTTTGACTAGAAAAAAAAATTTACAATTCTCATTATCGATCGTACAAAACATTTGAATTCCTTCATATAAATGGTTGGTCGTTCAAAAGATTCTCCCAACGTGGTCATTGGTTTTGAATAATTGCCGGTTACTTCCGAGTGTAATATAAGCAAGTCAGAATCGTGTGTCGAGTCAACGTGCTTTATTAATATTCATGTATTATATTCACCAGATACTCGTTTCTTGTCTTCGTATGGCGTTCACCTTTTCGATACGTTTCCGGATTTTTTGCACGCGTGTGTGTAACCGTCCCCTGTGCTTTGATAATCCAGTTTCTTCTGTGAGAAAAGAGATAGAATCGTGCTAAAATTATCATTAAAGAATACGTGACGTATATTGTTTCGTGGTGGATTATATTATCGTGACGTTGCATTTTTATGATCGCACATGAAAATAACGGTAAAAAAAAAGTCGGATCAACAATTCTGAAATTATTTGCAATTAATCTATAATACGCTTAAAAATAATTCCCGCAAGATCAATTTGTCCTACTCGGATAAATTTAACTTTCTATCCGCATTCGAGGGATTTATAGCATCATTTCCTTGCCCCGAAGCCTCATGGCTACCAGATACGTTTGACACTTGTGCAGTTTCACACGTTTATATAACGCGTGTCTTTAAAATTTCTATTCTATTCGTAACTACTGGTTAATTGCATTAAAATCCATGATTAGGCTTGTTCCACTGCGATATTAATTATTTATAATTATATTTGGTCGGAAATAAGAGAATAAATTTTAGCGTTGAAACTTTTAATTTTCATCTGTTTAAGTTTAGAAGAAATATTTTAATGCGATATAGAAAGAAAAAGACAACCTGTTAAACAGGTAGTAACTTTTTAGAGTTAAAAGTGGTTGATGAATCTAATGAAGTTTTATTTTTAAAAAAAAATTAATATATAATATATATATATATAATATATTATATTATATAATCTTTTTCGAAAAAAATATATAACTAATCATGAATTTTATGAATTTTAATTATAATTATTTGTAATTATAATTAATTTACATTTTAAATTTCGCAATATGTATATGTATAAAAAAGATTAATTTATAAGAAGTTGACAATCATATGAAGAAGAAGAAAGAAAGATAGAAATTAACGCTTCCGCAAAACTTGAAAATCGTTTAACCTCATTGGCGCCAGTCACGTTTGGTGTACAGCATGTAATACTATGGTTAGATACGTACCTGGCGCATACGAAGTAAGGAGTAGGGGTAGAATGCGCGGATATTAACGCGAGAAAATATTCTGTGCACCGGCAAAAAGTGACGCGGTATTCCATTATCCTCGTCGGCACGATGCAAAACCGGTCGAAATGATTGGATTTTTATTTTCCATCTTGCTCGTTGCTCTGTTCTCTGTCTTCGTTGCGTGGCGCGTATCGCGCGCGAGTTACAGCGTTTCTTCGTTTCTTTCTGGCGCGCGGCAAGCAACGAGTATCACCGACCGCGACCTAAAGCGAGAGAGAAGGACAAAAGATGCGCGCGCACACGAGCGCGAATCGCCCGTGGAGACGCATGTGCGTACGCGAATGTGTGCGCTGTTACCGTGTGACTCATCCAGGTACATTGCACCCGGTACGTGTCCGGTACAAGCTCGAGTTGGTACGTTCGACGATCATGTCCAATATTTTCCAATTTTTTAATCGAGACATTGTGATCTTGATTTATCAATTCTTATGATAATTCGTTACTTTCAAAGTGAATCGTGCCTTAGAAATGAATTGATCTCGATGTTGCAGGCAGTACTGTCGTCGACGAAACTTGAGAAACAATTTACTGAAATTATATGCGATCATCCGACACACGATCTTAATTGTTTCATACTGAGCACTTGGCTCCCTAAGGTCCAAGAGTTGGCTCCTGATTAGCGATGATTACTATCATCGGTCAGGCAAGGGAAATGTTCTTGAGGCAGTTCGTATGCAGTCACGATTTCTGTAGATGTCTCGCGAGCACATGCAGCATGATCGGCTACAGATATAAGGCGTAACATGTTGTTAGGTTAAATACGAAAGCGATACTCCCCGTCGGATATTCATTGAACGAACATTTAACCCAATCGCTTCCTACCGGCCTTGCCATTTCTCTCGAACAACATGTGCGTGCAACCAGAGAAAACGAAGGCATCGAGAGTGGTTGTCTTGACTCGGAGTGGCGCGCTGGGAATCGCGTGTGGATTATTAAAAGTCATCGAAGCGTGTGGTAAATACTTCTCGATCTGTCTCTTTCTCTCTCTCTCTTTTTCGTTTTCTTCTTTTGACTTTTCAGAGCTTCTTGACAGTATTTTCTTCGGTCTCTCGCTCATTCCCTTTCGTCTTCCGTGCGTCTTCGTTTTTGTCTCTCTCTCCATTGCGCCAATGCTAGTTTGTGTCTCCCTCTATGTTGCTTTTTCTCTCTTCAACATTCTCGAGCGAATCTTCGTCGTTCTCCGTTGCACCTCAAGAGCAATGAACTCTCGGTAGGGTATATCATCAGTGAAGTGATACTACCAGTGTGCGCGTGCGTCAATGTATACGTGCGCGCGCATGCGAGTCCGCGCGTGTGTAGCACGGGTGTGCAATGCACAACGCGATCGAGTCGCGTTTCCATCGCACCTTTTCTTTTCCTTTTTTTTTCATTGTATATATGCGTCGAATAAAATGAAATCATGGCATATAGAATACGCGGTGAACCCAAAGATTGGTACACGTGCAGCAATGGTCAGAAACAACTAGTGTAGAGTGCATGCATCGACCCTAACCACGATATGCTTGAATCGCTTATTTCCCATTCCTTTTTCTTTCTTTTTCTTTGTCTCTTTTTCCTTATGACGTAAATCGATTGAATATTTTAGCTATGTAACATTTTTAACACATTTTTAACAAGATAACACGTGCGGTAATAATAGTTGAATAGACAGATTCACGATTTGAAATTGAAATGAAAATTTTATTCGTTCTTTCGATATTACGTTATGCAGCAATCTTATTGCAACCGACTCGACTCGCTTGCAAGTCGTCAGCCCGGAAACCGGCAATCCATTTGCTATTCGTTGCTTTGTTTAGTATTGCCGCTGCGCGCAATCTTCTTGACAATACAAAGTGAATTCTGGAATATTGTTTTTCGAGTAAATTAACTTGGAAGATTCGTTCTTGAGATTGTCAATTAGTACTCTTGCAAAATATTCTTTACAAAAATACTTTGAAGATTAGATTTAGTATATCACTGATATTTCAGAAAGGAAATTATGTAAAGTTAAAGTTTAGAGTAATTGTTATTTCAGTTCAACGGGAAAAAAAATTGTATAATTTCAAGGGTAAATTGATTATTAATTTTCAATAAATTTTCATAACTTGATCAATAATTAAATAACATGTTAATCGGTAATTTATAAAAAGATACTTATTTATAGATAGGTTTTGTTACAAGAAAGGGAGACTTGGCTAATGGCAATGCTAATAACACGACGGTATAAATAGGAGAGATTCCTTTAAGAGGAGAGAGAGAGAGATTCGAGTTGGCGTTGGTAAGTGCAACGCCATTGAACTGTCCACTATATGTATAGTACGAGTGGTCATGCAACGGTAAAATTAAGGGAAATTGATTAAGATTGGTCATTTTAAATGTATCTGATCGAACTTGTACATTCTGACTTCCTGGTGCAAGAGTCGCACTCTTGATTAATGCGAATTCTTTGATATTCGAAATTTATATTATCCAATTATATAAAAAATTTTCTTTATAAATATTGTTATATTTAAAAAATAATAAATTAAAATATCATAATAAAAATATTTTGAAATTTCAAAAAATATTCATTATATTATAATTCGATTTTTAATGTCACTTTCACAAGCTAAATTGTATTTCATTTTTTCATTAAATTCTTTTTCTATTATATTTTACATCAAAATAATAATATTTAAACGCGATAGAACTATCTATTTGTGTAGAATTCTCATGAGCATAGCGATTCTTCCTCCAATGGGATCATTATTCATGAGATAAAAGGCGCGACCGTAGTTACCGCGAAGTGATTTCGTTGCATCAAAACTCGTTCAGGGCACAAATAAGCGCGCCTTAATCGCACGCGCATTTCAAGCACTGTGTAAGTTACATCACACATATTACGTATACCATCACACATATGCGTCCGTCAACGCGTTAAACACACATGAAGAGTGATTATTTCCTTTCTTGCTGACCTGCTGTAATTCTGCCTGTTGTACACTTGTTTTTTGCACGTACTTACGCACATTGTCGCGTGCAGTATATACAGGTGCGTAGATAAGTACGTACATATTCGACTTGAAGTACATACTTCCCTCTACAAATATCGAAGTACACGTGAACATACATTCAACGAATATATGAGAAACGAGGAAGATAAATGTTTCGCGGATAGGTCCACCATAAGCAAATGTTAATAATATTCACTTCCTGTAACTCAGTTATATCAAATCATTGCTGTATTTCTGTATTATTATCGTTTTCTTCATACATTACTATTACCTTTACGCAGCGCGTTTGCTGTGCACACTAACATAATCATATACATGTTCATTCGTCGACTGTCGAGTGAAAAGATAAAAGAATGTTTCCTCTGCGCATCCTTTTCTTTCACGTTTGGCAATTGTATGTTTCCATTGATTATGCTTTTAGTTATTCGGTATATCGTTCGTCGGTGAATGCTTTGTTAGCAAAGCGTCATCATTGCGTTTCGCTCTATATACTTTCTACTCGAAACAAACAACTTATTAAAATGATGCTTGTTGTTTTTATATATGGAGGAAAAAGATGATATAATCACATTAAGCAAGTAATCTTTATTTTTTCATTTAGAGGAAAGAACTCGTTTTCGTGTAATTTTCGCATTTATGCAAATTTCATTCCCGACATCGGCAAAATTATATGTTTGTTTATCAGTACGAACGAAAGATTAAGCAAAAACAAGTAAAGTAACGAAACTCATATTTTTTTTTCTGAAACGAGCAAACGGAATCACATTTTTTTAATCCGAACGTTCATTCCATTAATGTTTCTGGACAATCCGGTTTCGTATACCGACCTATTGGCTTCGTTCAATTTTATTCGTCGTTCTCGTATGAATTCGATAATGTTCAGTCCTTATTTTTTCGCTGGCAACCTCGCCCCTCTTTTCTGCATACGTAAACTCCTTGCACGGCCGTCGATGTGTGCATGTAAGTATACGTATCTAGCGGTAAGGACGCAGGCCTTGACCATGAATACAAGTTGGTGGATTGCATAACTATAGTTATGTGCGGTGGAACGACAGTGGCTCTCCCTGCGATTGTAAAACGCGTCCATGCACGCACAATCCAGCTCCACAGCGCATGAGCGTATGTACGTGGCGCGTATGTGCGCGCGCACACGTGGGTCGAACAATACAAACGTCAGTTTTATATACACGCGAAACAATTTGTATTTCCTTTTTGAAGAAGAAAAGAACGTAAACCTTTCTTATTTAATTAAAAATATTAAAAATTCTTCTTACAATCAAATTAACACATTTATACATGTTCATATATATATTAGAAATATCGTATTATATTATTACTCTTGAACAACTTATTGTAAATCAAACTATATATTATATGTCTCTTCTTAGTTTTTTAATATAACATTCTTTTATATATATGACAAAAATTGAGTATGTATACTATCATAGAGTACACTGCACTCGTGACGTGTCACGTACTCGTGTTTGCACGTGAGTGTACTTGAATGCGCGGGCACACGCACGCACGCACGCGCACACAACCACGCATTCAGCGACGTGTTGAAACGAGCGGCATTGCGTACGCAGACGTAAGGCTGCGACCTTGCCTTTAAGCTTCAAACAGCTGTTCGTGGCGGTGTTTTGAGCCTTCGTGAAATGGAACGCGAGTAAACGAGGGGTTGCGAGACGTCGGCGGTGAGGACGTCGTAATCCGTGGCGAGATCGTAGTGGTAAATCGTTGGATCGATGTATTTTCACTATAAATTCACGTGCGTTTTTACGTTTGATACGATCTTAGACGCATCGATTTTTTTTAATCTGGGATATAATGTTCAGAATATTATTTTTGCTAATTCAATTAAAATTTTACACAAAAGAATTTAATTCGTATTTTATTTCTGTATTTATTAATGAAAATTATTTTAGTCTATTGTATCTATTGTAGTCTATTTCAAAATTTATTGATTTAATATAATTGTATATTTATAATATATATACACATATATTATTTCAGATCTATAATTAATTATAGCTTTAGATTAATTATATTTCTTTATATTAACATAATATTTTTGATTATTACGATTTACAATTGAAAGAAATTAACAAAAGATATTATTCTTCGAACAAATAATAGCAAATAATTTAATGTTTCAAAATAAGGTAATGTTTCAAAATATGGACTTGATGATGAGTAAATTACTATATTAAGAGACTAAAGAAATCTTAGATTATGATAGAATTCTAAATGGGAAATTAATAGAATTTTTTCACATGATTTATTCAGTGATAAAGTAATACGGTGATAATTGCATTTCTCTAATCTCTGAAAATCTCCCGTCACTATGATGAATGATGAACCACACTGGAATGTATACAATTGCAGCAATTCACAGGAAAGCACATATTCGTGAAAATAAGAAAAAAAAAAACAAGGTAGATTAACTGAAACGTCTTAAGTGCTTAAAATAACAGAAAGATGAAAGAATCGTCGACAGATATTGATATATTTAGAATGAATCTTACTGCAACATTTTCAATTCTGTTTTTCTTTGTCCTATATAAGTTATAAATAACAATAATTAGCATTTTTATTAATAAAAAACATTATGATTTGTAATATGTAATTTTAAAACAATATTTTCAATATATTATATCTTTACATCTAAAATAAATTTAAATTAATGTTAGATTTATTTAATTCATATCGTGAAAGATAAAAATTTTAGTTATATAATACGCATTTTTTAAGTTGAAAATTATAACAAATTTCTAGATTGTATATGAAAACTTTTATTCGTAAATATAAATCGCGTTTTTATCAGCTAATTCTCACGTTTGATTCTTTGAAAAAATTAAAGGTTCCTCTTGTTCCCTACCAACAAACATGAATTATTTGTACCACCCACCGGCTCTGATTTTCCACCCACTTGAACACACCTTTGCATAAATTCATTCTCTTTCCCTCTCTTTCTATCTCGATTGTTATCTGCAGGATGTTACAGGTTAAAGTTGTACACGTCGAAGATCACAAGCGAAAGAGAAAGTCCGTTTGAATTAAGTCGTCATTGAGGAAGATTTACTGGCAATTATTTTTCGCTTAACGTTCGATTAATATTAATCTCTTATTTCTTTCGTCACAATTAAACGCTTTTGATGTTTTCCATCGTGTTTTATAATGAACAACTTTTCAACAGAAAATATATTTGTAAATTTATTGTAACATCTGTGAACTGAGATTAATTATATTATGGAAATATAATTTATGTATTTTATAATTTCATGATTCTTTAACGTATTGTTAAATAAGATTCGGTTGGTAGCTTTCAATGTTATATGTAGATTGCACTTTTATGAGCTGCTTATGTATCTTTAATATTATTTGTAATGTAAAAGAAGCAATTAAAATATAGATGTTATATATGTAGCTGTGATTAAAATTTTCGTTACAGTGGATGAGTTTTCTGATCAATTAACGTTCTGACAAGTTCAGAATAAATAAATTCGTCAAATAAATTCTCAATTAGAATGATCATTTCGTTTTCTTCAAATATCTCATAAATTCGTTTCATATAAATATTTCACACTTGTTATAATAAAATCGGATAAAGTAGAAATTGAAAAAATTTTCTAAATGATAAATATAAAATATAATATATCGATTACACAATTTCTTCCCTGAATCTCATAAATTTTACTTCCTAATAATTATTCATAAATAAATAACATTTAAATAGGAAAAAAAAGGAACAGAATTCAGTCATCAACGATCGCCAATTCCCATCTGGTGACAAAAATAGTTCCCGTATAAATTTCTTCGACACTTGAAAATAGCCTTAGTGTTATATAACGCACGCTATCGTCGAGGCTCGCTGATTTTCCACCTGCACGCAGCCAGTTCGAGCCAACGCACATAAATTTGCCCCACCTTCTCTCACGATGATTATCAACGGGAAGTTATTCGACGCAGTTTCACCTACGAGCACGCGTGATTCTCTATCAACAGGAAGAAAAATTAACGAAAAAAGAAAATACCATAAAGACGAAGAAGGCGAACAGCCTTAAACCGAATGCATCGAATTCCTATTCAGATCAGAAGACAGAGACGAAGACGAAAAAAAAAAAAAAAGAAAAATGCAAATAAGAATTCGCGTACCGTGTTCGATCGTCGACTGGATCATGAATTCGATCCGAATCGATAGCTTTTGATCGGTCGATAGATGGATCGTATGGGAACGGATGGGTAGGGAGAAAAGGTGGACTGTTCGCGACGATGGCCGCGGAGCCGAAGGAGAAGGGAACGCTCATCAAAGAGGCATTGAACTCAGGATTCCGTGCGAGGACCACCGTGGAATAAGAAGCCACGGGGACTCGAGCGATTCGTTCATTCGAGGGACGTGCGAATCACCGGTTTTCGCGCGTGTTCACTTTGTCTACTTTGACGGTCGAGGACCTCCGGTTTCGCAGGATGCCAAAGCGGCCAAACTCTTCCGCCTTTTCACGTTTGACGGACGTTGATGTATTAAAGGGTTGAACAGGAGGGAACCTCGTACCATGATCCTCATT